CTAATTATCACAACAGAATAGTATTTGGTGATGACAAAAAAATGAATTACCTCCAAATGTAGCATGGATGTGAGTCATGCAGATAAAACTGAGTAAAAGAATTCAGACAAGAGAGTACCTATTGTATATGACACTCATTTTTACAATAAAATCCAAAACCAGGAAATGCTGATCTATGTAATAGAAATAAAAACTACTGGTTACTTTTGACTGAGGGCATATTGCCTGGAAGTGGGGTACACAAAAAGTTTCTGGGGTGAGGGAAACATGCTCCTTTTTAAAGATTTTTTTTGATGTGCACCATTTTTCAAGTCTTTACTGAATTTGTTACTATATTGTTTCTGCTTTATGTTTTGGTTGTTTGGCCATTAGGAATGTGGGATTTTATCTTCCTACACCAGGGATTGAACCCACACCCCCTGCATTGGAAGGTGAAGTCTTAACCACTCAACCACCAAGGAAGTCCTAGAAACATGTTTTGTTGACATGAGTGATGGTTCTACTCTTAAACCTGGAGGAAGCCTTCTGCTTCTGGTTGGGATGAAAAAAAAAATGAGATTATCATTCATACTCTAATGCTAAGAATGAGTCCAATATGTTACCAAATCACAGATTTCTGAGACTATAAGATAGCTGAAAGCATGAGATCTAACCGAATGAAAATAAAGAAACTGATAAGCCCTTTCTAGAAGAAAGAAGACCCATAGCTGCTCTTATCCCTGGAGGAGGAGTGAGAAGAAGTGTCATTAAATGATGGAAGGACAAATCACCCTGACTTTGAAGGAAGCTTTAGTGGCCATGAGTGCACAGGTTTGATGGAGTCACATCCTTGGGGAAACTTTACCCACCACCAATCCTTCCCACAGGCCTTTATCCCCCAGGCATGAGCGAGTCCACCAAAGGATGGGTGTAGGGCCACAGATCTGTCATGCTAAAGAGGGATTTGATAATTTCCAAACAGCAGGAAAGTGAAAGTGAAAGTTGCTCAGCCATGTCCTACTCTTTGCGAGCCCATGGACTACACAGTCTTTGGAATTCTCCAGGCCAGAATACTGGAGTGGGTAGCCTTTCCCTTCTCCAGGGGATCTTCCCAAACCCAGGGATCAAACCCAGGTATCCCACACTGCAGGTGGATTCTTCACCAGCTGAGCCACGAGGGAAGCCCAGGAAATCAACCCTGAATATTCACTGGAAGGACTGAAGCTCCAATACTATGGCTACCTGATGCCAAGAGCTGATTCACTCGAAAAGACCCTGATGCTGGGAAAGGTTGAGGGCAGGAGGTAGAGAGGAAGACAGAGGATGAGATGGTTGGCTGGCATCATGACTCAAAGAAGATGAGTTTGAGCAAACTCGGGGAAATAGTGAAGGACAGGGAAGTCTGGCATGCTGCAGTCCAAGAGGTGACAAAGCATCGGTCATGACTGAGTAACTGAACGACAACAACCAAGAGCAGATGGAGTGTGTGTCCACGGACAGGACACTCATGAGAAGGCGAGTGATGATTATGACCTAAGTGAAGGCAGCGGCCTTGATGAGGGTGAAAGTGAATGGATTTCATGGATCATTTTAGAGGCAGAGGAGACAGAGCCTTTGGTATAGACCTCCAATGCTGCATATTTTATTCCACTATTATGAGGTAAAAATTAGAGTGAATTAAAAATCCATTACCAAATTGTGTCACAACCTTCTATAATGAGAAATGCAAATGGGAAACGTAACAGGATCAGAAATGGGCAGAAGATCTCAATCTGGACTGAAATGCCATCAAGGAACCAAGAGGCAGCAACAACAACAAATGTGACAAGATTTCCAGGACTATTTCAATAAAGAAATGATTTAAAAAAAATTTAAAAAAAGAACCTCCCTGGTGGTCTGGTGGTTAAGAATCCACCTGCCAATTCAGGGGACATGGGTTCTATTCCTGTTCCAGGAACTAAGATCCTTGGGGCAACTAGCCTTTGAGCTGTAACTACTGAAGCCCATGCGCCCTAGAATCATTGCTTCAGAAGAGATGTCACTGCAATGAGGAGGCCTTGCACGAAAACTAGAGAGTAGCCTCTGCTCGCTGCAACTAGAGAAAGCCCATGCAACAGCAACAAACAGCCAGCACAGCCAAAGATAAATAAATAATCATAAAAAAAGAACATGAACCACGGAGGTCAACACAGAGAGAGTTCCAGAAAAGTCTTTGGTCTATTAAGAAAGTGTGTAGGAAGCAACACATTCATGTCCAAGAGTTGGTCTGGGGGCAAAGAAAATTTTCAGGGTCACGTAAGGAAGGGGTTGAAGATTTGTGATAAGAGTTTTAATAAACCTGGCAATAGGTAAGTTTTACCTTGATATCAAGCATCAATCTAAGCAGATAAAGTGAGGAAAGGCCATGTCCCAGGGCACATGGGATCTCAGTTCCTGAGCAGGGATCAAACCCATATCCTCTGCATTGGAATCTCGGAGTCTTAACCACTGGACTGCCAAGGAAGTCCCAGTAATGGAAGTAAGTCTTTCCTAGAATAACTACAACAATAAAACTTCATTAAACAATTTCTTAAAGTAATTGGTGGGAAGTGGGGAGAAAAAGCCAACTCAGGTGACATCAAGTACCCTGGTCCAGACGTTCAGATGCTGAGAAATATCTTGGTTCTTGATTCTATGCAGCATCCAGTCATGACTAGTGTCCTACTACTTATTGCTATTTCTACTGAAACTCCATGGAGTTGGGTTTAGGTTTATGCCTAGAAAATTATGCACGGTGACATGAAAATAAAATGCTGCAAGAAGATTTATGAGATAATGGGATCAGATAACATTAGCTGTTCTTGAACATAGCTCAGGAAAGTTAAAGGACAGATTAATGAGGGATTAAGCCAAACATGAATTTTAATATCCAAAGACATTCATAAGCAAGAAACCCTGGGGCATATTTATAGAGCCACTTTAATTAGTCAGTATTCAAAACAGCTTTACACACGAGTCAAGTTTTCAACAGATTTGAAATATGCAGGTTTCCTAAATGAAGAGTTGAAGTATTGTAAACCAAGCACGGAATTGGATATCAGAAGATTGCGGGCTTGACTTCTGACTCTGCCAGTTGCAGACTTGGAGAGTAAATCGCAAAACCTGTTCAAATGGAAAATGGAAAACTCTGATGGGCCCACCACCGAGATGAAACACAATGGGCATGAACGTGCTTTGTAAAACAGAGAGTGATATATTATTTCCTCAAAAGAGTAAAGAAGAGAAAGAGAACTCATGTTCATGAAATTTGCTCTTTTTCATGTTAACAGTCCTACCACTAATATCTAGACAGAGTACCTTGAATTTACTGATAATGATTTAAGATCCAAGGATTCTGGGTTCTTCGCTCAACTGCTACCTCAACACTTGTATTAGCAAATGGACATGAGAAGTATCAAATGTACCTAAGAAATACCTGTCACAGTGATCGCTCATGGTTTATACTCATATCTCTTAGATAATTTCAAAAGGAGCTAGATCAGAGCAGTGATTTAGACACTAATATCATATAGACCTGGATTCAAATCCTACCTCTATCACTTCCTAGTTTTATGAGTTTACAGAATCCCACCAGGGCTTCCCAGGTAGGGCTAGTTGTAAAGAACTTACCTGTTAACACAGAAGACATAAGAGACTTGGGTTCAATTCCTAGGTCAGGAAGATCCCCTGGAGGAGGGCATGGCAATTCACTCCAGTATTCTTGCCTGGAGAATCCCATGGACAGAGGAGCCTACAGTTCATTGGGTCGCAAAGAGTCAAGACACAACTGAAAGACTGAACACCATCCCTAGGCTCTGTTTTTTAACACAAAAGTGGAGATGGTCACAGTACAGTATGACAGGTTTCAAAGATTTAAGAGATAACAGCATTTAATGTACTTAGCAGAATGCCTGGTGTGCATTAATAGTACAGATCTTTGGTATCTAAAATGTGGCTTCCCAGGAGATAAAATTTTTCACTTTCCACCTACTGGTCATTCCCTTGAACAGGGATGCAGTTCCTCACATACACACAGAAACTCACATTATTTTACAGCCAGTCATGAGCTCAACATTTACTGTGCTCAGTCACTTCCGTCGGGTCCAAGTCTTTGCGACCCCATGGACTGTAGCCCACCAGGCTCCTCTGTCCATGGGATTTTCCAGGCAAGAATACTAGAGTGGGTTGCCATGCCCTCCATTAGGGATTTTTCTGACCCAGGGATTGAACCTGCATCTCCTGCAGGCAGATTCTTTACTGATGAACCACCAAGGAAGCGCCAACATTTACTAAGCAACTACAATAAGCCAGACCCCATGACCGACATCACGGATGCAGACATGAGCTAGATACTGTCTCTAACTGCAAATATTTCTCAATAATCTAAGACTCGTGGGAATTCCTTGGTGGTCTAGTGGTTGGGACTCTGAGCTTTCTTCACTGCTGTGGCCTGGGTTCAGTCTTTGGCTGGGGAACTAAGATCCCACAAGCCACGTGCAGAGTGGCCAAAAAATGTAAGACTCTTCAGTGCAAATCATTGTTGGCTCTGCCCACCCCTGTATCCCCAATGATTAAAATCGTGCCTAGATTATTGACTATGCTTGGTAAATGTTTATGAAGTGAACAGTCTGTGCTTTTTCTGCTACAGAAATATCCAAATCTCAGTGCAGAAACTACTTTTACTTTTATTTTGGATATCCAGTGAAGAAAAACTGCAATGAAAAACATTTTTATCAGTACAGTTATAACCGGCATTAGGTATAAATCCTAGGCTCCTCAAAACAACGTTAACTATCCTTTCATAATAAATACAATGACATTTAGCACTTTAGAAAAAAATTCAATGGGCAGTGCAGGTTGGAAAAAATTCACCAAGCCTTTGATAGTGTAATCAAGGAAAAGACATTTGATACTATTCTTTTATTGTATGTATTAGTATTTTCCCTACCATTTAAAATGTAAGACGGTAAGATTTCACTTAGATATTTAAAAACATTGCTCACCTGGTCTTCTTCTCCTCCACCTTCTTCATCATATTTTAAAATATTATCTCTTACATCATCTTCTGGATCAATTAAAAGTTGTTTGGCCTGGCGTTCTTTATCCCGGCGTTTCATCCATACCACGAACATCAGAACGAGAACTAGGCAGAAAGAGAGTAAAGACATATGATACCATAATTTTAAAAACTTGACTTTATCTAATCACAGTCTTCAAGACTAATAATTTATATTCATATAGCTGGAAAACTTGCAATGCATCTTCTACTCTGTTACCTAATCCTAGCCTCACATGACAAGAAACAAGACAGGACAGACACCCTGAGAACCAAGTTTAGATTGTTCTAGAAACTAGTACCCTATGAATTCACTGAGTGGATGTCTATCCTCAGTTTTACTATCTACAAATGGGGACAATAACTATTTCTATCTTTTTCTTTGTCTTGCTAGAGGATAGGATATGTGTCATATAAAGGATTGTAAAGTCTAAAACAACAAAATACAATAGGTGACATCACCACTCATTATTTAATTGCCATTCCATTCCAGTTGATCAGTCATCATTCTCCTCCCCAAATGATCCCCATCATTCTCCTCTCTCAGCACACGTATCAAGGACAGGGAGTACTTGCCAAGATGCCTTTGCAGCAAACTAGACCTGGATCAGAGACTTGATCTTGAGGATTTTTGACTCCCAAGGGCCTGGGTCTTTCTTTCATGCTGCTGTGCTTTTCTCTTTCCTGCTCAACAGCATGCTTCAGGTAAGGAGGCCAGGGGATTAGTTTGAGCACTAAAATAACATCCCTGGTGGCTCGGAGGGTGAAAGAATCTGCCTGCAATGTGGGAGACCTGGGTTCGATCCCTGGGTCAGGAAGATCCCCTGGAGAAGTAGATGGCAACCCACTCCAGTATTCACGCCTGCAGAATCCCATGGACAGAGGAGCCTGGTGGGCTACGGTCCATGGGGTCAAAAACAGTCAGACATGAGTGAGTGACTAACGCTAACACTTCCTGCTCTACGTTTCTGCACCAGGATTAGAATCATAAATTTTCCAGCTGGCTGATGTTAAAATCAGCACCGATTCATTTTCCTTCAGAATGGCTCGAGTCCTTCTTCATGCCACAATCCATCAGCTCTAAGTTTTTCTTGATAAGGTTGGCATGTATGCCTCTTGTTAGTTGATATTGAAACATATCCCCAAGTGCACATCTAGGAATGCATTCCCTCTAAAATCTGGAGCTATCAGTTTACATCCTGAAGCAAAAAGATTTAATGACTCTTATTTGAGCACATTTTTATTATTGGCCATAAAAGTAAATATCTTCCTTTTAAAGCCAGATACATGATCTCATTTGCCATTGTTCCAGGGCTAAATCTAGCAAGTGGATTATTAGTGTAGCATGTAGGTTTCAAATTATAGTCAAAGTAGTCTCCACATAGGAAGTAAAAAATGCTCAGGCTTCTACAGTAATTGCTTAGGAAAAAAAAAAAAAGGACAGGATTCTAAATTACCAGAACACTTGTAAATGGAGAAAACATAAAAGAAATGGCCAACATTTTGAAGAAAGTGATTGGTGCATAGCATGACTGCACAATAAACTAAGTCCTGCTGCTACTCAACAATACAACACAGGGTCCAGGCAATTTGTTCTTTTAACCTGCATACTTAGAAGTGGTTCCTAAAGTACTTTCCAGTGGTTAATTTCTTGCATTCCACTGAACCAAAGACTGCAAAGTATATTAAAAAGGAACAATTCCTTAATCTAGACTGGCTCTAAAGACAGACAATTTATTGAGCTGTGTAATCATTTCTATTATCTGATGTGCTGTATGAAATACAATCTCTTGCTATTTTATGCAGCCCATCAGAAACAAATACCTTGATCCCTGCATGACTGGAGCAGGTTGCTGACTGCGCTTTCTATAAAGGAAAGCAAAGGAAAGCAATATACTTATTTTCCTAAATCATCAACTACGAGCCATAAATTCAGACACAAATCCTCAGAGAAGTGCTTCAACTTAGGACTGTTTAATATTTTTCTATGAAGAGTTTGCTGCAGCTCTGCAAGCGATCAGCATCAGAAAATGGGAACGGGCATGGAAGAGGTGGGCTGGCTGGGTTTGCTGCCAACAGGCAAGTGCATGCAAGGATGCTCAGGGTTTTCCTCATTCTAAAGTGGGCTTGGCTGTGAGAAATTGCTCAGAGGTGGAAGAGAGTTGTTAGAGCCCATTGAAAGGCAACAATAAAAATTACTTTTTATTGAGCATAGCCGGTAGGAAGGCACAGGACGATCTCAGGATTTGTTCTGCCTCTTGCAGAGAGCACTGTCAAAGGAAGTGAAGGAGCAAGTGGGCACTGGCCAGTTTGGGAACAAATAGTACTATATCCCCGAGTACAAGAATTGGAGAGGACAAACTATTCTAAAGAATGAACTAGAAGTAGCAAATGAAAGAGAAATAGACTATGAAGTAGGGGATATTCCAACAGAAAGGGAAGCTTGGATCAGAAAAAACAAGGACTCTGCCCACCATGGAGGAAATAATGAAAGATGAAGAATGAAAAACGGAGGGAAGAAACTAAAAGGAAAAGCAAAGACTTTTACAGCAAAGAAAAACTCCTTAGAGAAGAGAGCAACAGGGAACTCTTGGCTCCACCAGTTCAAACTCAGATGAAGGCACATGCCTCCGCTCCATTCTTTGGGAAACAGGAACCCTTCGTGGCTCCTAGCAGGGCTGGCAAAAGCTTTCAGCCAGGATCCTGGATGCCACAAGATGGCAAGAACCACAATCAGTGAATGCACTGCGGTCAAATCATGATATTTACATGTTTGTGACTATTTTAACAAATAAAAGCAAACAGTTGCTTTGTATTTTCCAACTGTAAAGAAAAAAGTTACTTTGCCAAACATCCTGGAAGCAAAAGGAATTCAAGCTGAGACACAGGGAAGTACTCACTGAGTAGGATGATGATGCAAAGCAGGATGGCGATGATGGCACCGGTGCCCAGCCCCGCTCCCACTATCCTATCCACATCCGTGCAGTCCCCGTTGGAATCACACTGGCAAACCTTCACCCGAAGGATGGAGATATTCGATTTGGGAGGATTACCCGAATCTGTGATTATGATTGGAACTTCGTAGATCCCAGCCTCAAGAAATTTTATCTTTAAGTTAAGCTGAGCAAAATCACCTATACAATAAAGGGGAAAAATATAGTAGGAGAGTTTATACATCCTAAGATTCAAAAACACATAGTACCGAAGGGTACATATAAAGCAGATTTCAACTATCCTGCACTGTAAAGTTTTTTTTTTTTTTGGCTTTAAGGGCTTTTCGTATCTTATTTAAACTTTAAGTAGCTTTTAAAATATATTTAAGGAGAAAGATGATAAAGCGCTTAAAACGGACTTTTCATACTGGGCTTCAAAGCCTCTCAGATGCACATATATTCAAATAATGAATCTGTCCTTACCATTAAGCCGAGTGATGGTCCAATTCCTCTTAATAGTCACTGGAGACAAAGGAAGATCAAAAGCAAACGGTCCAGCATTCGGATCAATGTCATAATCAAGTGCTGTGATGTTAATTGAATTGGGGTCCGGAGTTTCACAAATCTCTGCCTCTTGAGGTAACACTTGAGGGGCATTGTCATTAATATCAAGTAAATAGATCTGCAGTGTTCCCGTTCCACTCATAGGAGGAATTCCTAAAAAGGGAGAAAAATCACAAACCAATGCTCAACAGTCCTCTCCCTTGAGTCTCAATTATAGTGAAACTCTCAAAGTTTCTAGCTTTCCAGCCCTTATCACTGTATAACCTTGGAAAAATCTCGTTGCCACAGCATCTCTGCTGTTTTGGTACAAGGCCACTTCTTGCATCTCTTCTAGGATGACCCTGCACTCCTCCCGCTGGAGGTTCAGGCACGGAGGGCGGAGACAACACGCATGCGCAAGCCCCCATCCCCGCCACGGGACCGCAGCCCTGTGCCCCTGGGGACTTACTCTGTGCCCCACGTGCAGTGGGCTCCTCTAGGCACTGTGGGATATAAGCAAGCAGAAACCCAGGCTCATGATCTCAAGGACCCTACTCATTTATGGAGAACCAAGATGTGTGCATGAAAGAACCCCAGAGTGCTTTTCAAGCCCAGACGTAACTCTGAAATATTGAAATGGTCTACAGACCCACAGACCTTATCTTGGGGAGGAGCCAGATCACTTGCTTGAGAGTAATTAGGTTGCACTCTATACATCATTTCATTGTCATCCTATGAAGCTGGTTTAAACAGACAGGAACCTAAGTGTCTCTATAAACTGGTTATGGTTGCTTCCTCTTAGAAGTATTGGGGTTGCTAGTGGAGATGGGTCTGCCTGACCCCAAATCAATCCTCTATAACATGTTGTCTCTACACTTATCTTTTGAGTTGGACTCTACTATGTTATAAATATTTATGAATAAATATATAACAGATATAGAAAATGTAATGGAAATGTTATTATATGTAAACATAATAATTATATTATTTTAATATATAATATATAATACAATTATATTTAACTATATAATCTATATATTATATACACTTAAGAGAATAGAAATACAGGAATTTTCTAAATAAGGCTGCGTATTGAGACCCAGAGGCTTAGGTGACCTGCCCAAGGTCATGAAACTAGGAAGATGCACACAAACACTCCTCAGGAGAGGACAAGGAGAAATCTTTGTGGACCTCTCTAAGGAATATGGACGGTTCTGAGAGCAGGGAGGTTAAGATGGAGGGGTAGCATGGCTGTTTACAATATTCTAATACTGTGGTCTAACCACGAGGGCCATTATGGTTCCCTATAGTTTGAATTACTTTCATATTTATTATCACATTTTACATTATTTGACTCTCACAACGACTTCACAGAATAGCAAGCAGCAAAAACAATGATCAATAATGAAATGAAGGCATACAGATTATAATAGCTTGTCCAGACATTAAGGAGCAGAACTGGGGCTCTAAATCCAGCCTTGTGATTTAACGTCGAGTGCATTTGCAAAACATCACAGCTACACAGATTTAACTGCTCACTTCCCTCATATCAAACACCCTTTCAATTAGGAAACAATCCACCTTGGTGAATGAAATATCTGGTTGTAACTCACAACTCACACATATACATATAATTTTATAGCTCTTTAAATCTCAACATAATGGTGCAAGATATATTACTGTAAGTTTCAGGGTGGAGAAAGCTACCACTTACAGAAAATGTAAAACAGACACAATTGCTCTGCTTTGATGTGAAATGGCAGAAGTGCTTCCCACCAAGTTTCAACTCTAAATATGTGAACAGTAGGTCTCACATTAGAAAGGATAAGAAATATTGCTTTGGTCTTGTCACCTCATAGATTTATAACAGATAATGATCTCATTGGATCTTATTACACAGGATTAGGAATGGTTCTTTGAGACTGTTCTTATCAAAAATGTTGACAGGCAATGTTTTTCAAACTGCACATCTTGGCCACCAAATAGAAAAAGCCTACTATTTTTATTAGATGCTAATATTCACAGTCCAACATTAAAACTATTCTAAAAGATGGCTATGATTTAGTTCTAAAACTATTTACACATCATAGAAATAATTACCTGAGTGTATAGTTTGTGCCAGGCACTGCTTTAAAAGTTTTATGTACAAGCCTTGTTATCTTCCCCTGTACACGAGTTACATCCTGCTACCATTATCCGTATCCACCAGAAAAAGGAAATGGACAGATTTAAAACCTCATTGCTAATCCTGCAGTTAGAAAAATAGTATAAATGGAGTCTGGATGCAGGGGGGAGGGGAGGTCAGGTGGAATTTCAAAGCTTCACTCTTAAACCGTATCATATTGAGACCTAAAACGAGTCCAACTCCAGTTTAACATAAGTTATTTTTATCTTATAGATCTAAAGAAAAAAGTGCTATCTACTAACCTCGGCCGTTTAGAATCCAGACGAGACCAAGAAAGAAAAAAAAAAAGATGCTAAACTATATGTTTATGTTTTTCAAAACCAACATACTAAAGCTCAAATATTCAATTATTTTAACATATGCAAGAAATTAAGAGTTTCCTAGACATGGCAGACTGCTGCTGCTGCTAAGTCGCTTCAGTCATGTCCGACTTTATGTGACCCCACAGACGGCAGCCCACCAGGCTCCCCCGTCCCTGGGATTCTCCAGGCAAGAACACATGGCAGACTGGAAGGACAGACTGATGGTAGCAAACATGCTGATGAGAAAAAACCTAAAATGGCCACCTTGAAAAACTCAGTGTGTGGGCTACTGTGCCATCAAGGTACAGAAGGACAGAACAATCACAAAGCCTTGCGATCACAATGCTAGGTGACCATGAAGGGTGTAAGGCCCTGGGGACGTTCATTACAGAAGACAGCAAACACAGAAAGCCCAAAGGAAATGGAGAATAGAAGTTGGGGCCTCAGAGGAGTGAAGGTCATTGGCACCTTAGAAGGAATGAAATTTTTCTAGACAACTGGGTTTCCTAGAAAATCTCATTTCCTAATGATGCATTTGTGATGAGGCTCTACTCTCTTTAACAACATCCAGGACAAATACAGTGACTATATTTAATTACGTACCATTGTCAGAAGCAAGGAAAGTAGCATTGTATATATTGTTTTTCACATTCGGTGATTCTCTGTCCAAAACAGCAATGGTAGTTATCTGCCCGTTCACAGAGTCTATTTTTAGCCAGTTTGCAGGATCGGATAATTTTGTGTATCTACAAAATGAAAGTGCAATAAGTTTATTTCTTTAGACATGAAATCTAAAACAGGAAGCTGATTTTTCTGGTTTAGTCCCAGACACAACCAGCATGTTAACTTGCATTTCTGTAGGTGATGGTTGGGACAAACAGCTGTAATGTGGGTATTTCTGTGGCAGTGGTTTGGGAGGCAACATGGTTCGTGTGTTGCATGGCCAGGCATGAAGTAAACGTTACATAGGTGGTAGAGCAGAAAGAGGAGGAACTCAGTTTCTGTACTGTGGGTTGGGGCTAGGGCAGATTTGACAGGTCTCATTATAAGCTCTTATCTAGTTCATAGGAGAGCAATGGTCCATATAAAATAGTTCTAATATATCTTCTAAGTAAGCAGCAGCCCTAATATATAGGGCTTAAGAGAAATTATAATAGAAGTTGAATTTTCTATCACAGAACACTCCTTACACATTTACTACCTTATCATGGTGGGGATTTGGTCGCAGTGAGGAGACCACCCTCCTCTCCCCGCTCCCATAGTCCCATTCCTCCTAGGATCGCCCACCTGGGCCAAACCTCAGGACTACACCCTTCAAGGGGAATCCTGTGGTCTGAGTAGATTTGTCTGTATTTGCTTAACCTCCTTTTTTATTTGGGGTGGGGGTGAGCTTTTCAAGCTTGGATAACCAATACACAAATTGGAAAACATATCCCGTTTGGAGAGGTAAAAAGTTACATGAGTTCAATACACCTGTTCACTACCTATTCATCTGTCTTGATTCCAGTGTACAGAGAAATGAAGAAGAAGACACACAGTTATCTGTTATCAACAGTACTGAAAGGAGTTAAATAAAATATGAGCTAATTTTTAAAATTACCATCACCAGGGATGGATAATAGTCATGTGGGGTATGCTCTGCCAACCCTCATCAGGAAGGATAAATTAGATTTTGCTGAGGCTGGAAATCTTTACAGATATATTTTATAAGTCCTATAACCACTATTTAGGTGAGGGATGAAAATAATTAGCTCTTATATCTTGGTGCTGGCATGAGTTTTCTTTCTGATGTGTGGAGAAGAGATAAATGTTATAAGCTTTCTGAGACTCTCCTATTTACTCATGGCAGAAGCTTTTTGGGATGGTTAGCATAAAAGCACAGGGTAAATTATTACTAAAGATGTTTTAAAAGGAGCAAGGGCAGAAAAAAGAGGCTGAAAACTTTTGTTTCTTTAAATGATAAAAGAGTAGATGCATTTATGTACCTCCTGTCTAATATACTCTTTGCTCCACTGAAAAAATTTCATCAAATAATTAAAAATAATCTTGTAATAAGGAGTATGAAATGAAAATTTCTCACCCAAATGGTGAAAAAATTTTATGCACAGCATAGAACATAATGCAAATGACAAAAACACCATAAATGGCATTTGATACCTAATGTTTTGCTGCATATATCGATCTGGGTCCTGAGCAGTAAATGTTGTTAACATGGTACCGGCGTGAAGGCCTTCTTCTTGGCGAATGATCTTTGGATTTGGGGCAAAATAAGGATTTTCATTCACATCGATAACTGTGACAGACACAGTCGCAGTAGACTGAGGTGGATGCTGAATACCCTTGGCTAATGGCACTTGATTTTCTGCAGCAACAGTAAGGACATACATCCTATTTGTTTCAAAGTCGATTGGCTGGAAAAACCAAAAAAAAAATTTTTTTTAAAGGAGAAACCATATTTTTGCAGGAAATAAGAATATTTGCATTTTGAAGTTGATCCTTCTAGTAAACTCCATTTCTAAAACATTAATTTTTTATTCACTACACCATAGGTTCCTCTCAAATTTCTGGAAAACTTGCATTAGCATGGCCAATGATTGAAATATTTATCACAACGTAACCTACTTCTACAAGATATTTATGTACCTTGTGCATTTCAAAGACTTATGTTCACAAAATAACGCTTATTACTATTGCACACTGCATTTATTTAGCTATATCTAAGAACTTACATATTCTTAAGAGCAGTGTTATTCACCAAAAAAAAAAAAAAAACCTAAATAATCTGGGATTAAATGAGAACATGATGGTCTAGATTGTATTCTCAAACACTGGTACAAAGACCATTCTTCACCCAGGAAAACTTTTAAACAGTCTGCGATGAAGTGTACAAAACAAAAACTAGACAATGTGATTTTTTTTCACAAAGCTAAACTTTTCCTATTTAAAAGTTCATTCATAATTTCAAGTATACATTTTAGAATATACACATATATACAATTAAAAAATAGTGCTCATAGGTAGAAGGACTTTTTATTTTCTCCTTAGTTAGCAAACTAAATCTATGGCTGTTTTCCAAAATAATTTTGAGGATTTTACTGGTCTGTACAAATGCCAAATCTAAGAATGCCACTCGAGATAAAGACAATGCACAGATAATGTAAACATTAGCTCTCAAAGTTTCACTGAATCTCACCGTCAATAGAAAAGTTACCAGAAGTCAAGTGACCAGACTGGACTTTCCCTCTTAATCTCATTGATGATATTCCGGTTAAGATACCCATAAGCATTACTGTGTGTAATATTAATAGCATGAGAAAAAGAGCTCTCCTGCCATCCTGAGGAGTCTAAGAAAGACCAAGGGCAGAAGCTATGAAGAAAGTCATGAAATTAGCACAGACTATACTAGTTTCTTTACCTAGACCACCTCCTCAACTCTGATTCAGAAGTTTTTTTACTCTCACTCTAAAATCCCCAGTTCAACTTCCCCTTCTGAAATATTTTAAACAAGACAGCAAAGAAGCCAGGAAATACTACAGAATTCTTTTGAGTGAGTGTACTAGACCCAGGAAACATCACTGACAATGTTTACTTATCTAAGATCTTTGGAAAAAAGTGAAAGTGTTAGTTACTCAGTCACGTCTGACTCTTTGAGACCCCATGGACTGCAGCCTGCCAGGTTCCTCTGTCCATGGGATTTTCCATGCAAGAATACTGGAGTGGGTTGCCATTTCCTCCTCTAGGAGATCTTCCCAACCCAGGGATCGAACCTGCATCTCTTGCATTGGCAGGCAGATTCTTTACCCCTAGGGCCACCCGGGGAGCCCAAGAGTGTTGGAATGGAAGGCAAAGAAGCAAACTCTTGCCTGGGTGGCTAGAAAGAGATGCTCACTTCACGGAGGTTTTCCATTAGCACTGTCTATTTGTTACACTTGAAGTTAACATCCCTTTTACTTCCAGAATTTAGCTTTATTTTACTTTTTGACAATGAAAGATTAGAAGAACCAATTTCTTAAAAACGGCATTTAAAAACAGCAAAGTAAATTCAAAACCTTTTAAGAGCGTAGGCCCTCTCATTGCCTACACTCATCTAGTTATACACTGGTAGTATTTTCTGGTTTGTTCCCCGAGCCAATACTCTAAAAGCAGCCTATAGACATAAGAATAGTAGGTGTGGGGCATCCTTCCTAATAGGTATCAGTTGGCCATCAAAACTCTATGATGCGGGACTTCCCTAATGGTCCAGTGGTTAGGTTAAGACTCCCAATGCATGGGGCACCAGTTCGATACCTAGTCAGGGAACTAAGATCCCCCATGCCAGACAGCACGACCCAGTCAAAATAAATAAAATAAAGAGATGTTACATATATATATGTGTGTGTATATGTATACACACACACACACACACACACACACACACACATATAAAACTCCACAACATAACACTAACACATTCACTGCACTGACCATTAACACTGCTGAGGACTGTTGTATCTTCACTGTCAAAACACCCAGATGATTGAAAATCAATCATATTCCAGGGAGAGAGAGTGAGACCATGTTGGCCTTGGCATCAACATAAGTGAAAAATAACAAACATGACTTCCCCAAATACATTAACTCTGATTTAGAGAGAGGCTTCCCTGTGGCTCAGATGGTAAAGAATCTGCCTGCAATGTGGGAGACCTGGGTTCGATCCCTGAGTTGGGAAGATCCTTTGGAGAAGGGCATGGCAACCCACTCCAGTATTCTTGCCTAGAGAATCCCCATGGACAGAGGAGCCTGGCGGGCTGCAGTCCGTGTGGTCATAAAGAGTCAGACACGACTGAGTAACTAAGCACAGCATAGAGACAGTTGAAATGTCCTGAGTCAATAACAAACTAAGGGGTGGGTGTCACATACGGTCATGGCCGAGTGGCCATCAGAGAGACCGTGGCACTTACTTTTACTACGGTGACTAAGCCGTCGTTGCTGTTGGGGTCAGTTTGAATGGCAAAGCGGCCAGCGGGGTCTCCTCCACTGATTCTGTAGACAGCGTTCCAGGCTGGCGTGTGGGGCTGATCCTTATCTGTCACCGTTAGATTAGCGACTATGACATCTACCCTGTTTTCAGGGACTTCACCATAGAACTGCAAGAAAAGACAAAGCTTATTCAGAGTGGCGACGGGCAGCCCTGAAGGACGGTGTGTCTCGATGGTCACACTGCCCTGATTTTAGTGACCCATTAAATCTTTATTATCCACACTAAGCGAGGAGATGAGTAATGCAGGTAATCACAGCATTTATGCTTGACTTTAAAAATATTATAACTCTGTGTGGCCCTCAAATTATTTTTTTCCAAATTATGTTATAGTTTCATTAAAATATAAAATTAATTCATTAATAGTAAATTCTGTGGGTATCTGGGATGATTCATGAGTGGTGGTCAGAAGAAAGGACTTGTCTGAAGGAAATCATTTTAGCCAAGAGATCATAATTATCTGCTGACAAAGGAGCATCGATCAGTCACATGGTTGGTGAACCTGAAGATATTTATAAATATTTTGTTGAAACAGCCTAAAATCTATTTAGGGCATTTCTTCCAGGCAGGATGTTTTAGTAACTTTATCAGTGGCCTTGGAGAGGACAAAAACAAATTAGTTGGTGCCTCATTTAAAACTCTGGTGTAAGCGACAGAAAACATGGGAGTCAGTAGCCATTCTACAATGAGGTGAATGAAGCAAGTTCCTGGCTCTATTTAATGCATCTATTATTCATGATGAAACTTCGCGGTAACGGACCGCAGGCCTCGAGTTCTGTGAGTGACAGTCCATACTTACTGTCATGGCAGTGAACTCCGGAGGATTGTCGTTGACATCTGTCACCGTGATGACAGCCGTGGCTGTGTTGGAAAGGCCATATGTGGGATTGCCTTCCATGTCTGTAGCTTGAATTATTAACGTATACTGCTGCACTTTCTGAAAAGACATAAAGATAACAACTCAAATGAAACGAATTCCTCAAGAAGACATCACAGTTGTTCTGTAAGTGGCTCTTGATTACACCCAGAAAAGCATGGCATTATTCACTCTGATTAACAGGACTTGAAATTTTCCAAGTGGAGTTTACTTTAACTTGTGAAGCACAGGTCTGGTCCTTGTCTAGAGAGATTTAACTGGATGTTTTCACCTCGACTGGTGGAAAGGAACGCGTGGCAGATGTGTGAAATTCGCTGCTAAGCCGAAACTCCCATCTGGTTTCAGCGTTTCTTTTTCTTCCCAACTTCACAACACTGTCATCAAGCATTTGAGTCATGTGGTTTGTATTTACTTTCTCAGATGTTAATTTCTACCCAGTTTAGGCTACTAAAAACAATCAAGAAAGTTGAGAGGGAGAAGAAAGCATATATAATTCATAAAGTATATATGCTTTCCTTTTACATATCTTTACATATGTTCCTTCTATTAAAGCAAAGTTGATACAGTATTTTCTTCTAATTTCCTTCAATGCACACTATTTACAACTATAGAGGAGAGATATACTGTTAAATGAAGTGAAGACCAAAACAAAGGGTTTATGTTTATATTCTTCATCTTGGAACCTAGTAGGTATTTAATTGTTACCCACCTCCTCCAGTGGACCACTACTTGAGTACAACACTCACTGAGTCCACAGACGTATGATGAATATGGATATATTTTCACATAGATGGTTAATATAGAATTTTCATCACTGCTTTCAAATTTCAGATTGAACTTTTTAAAGGAGAGCCAAGATCAGTTGTAATGCATCTAATAGAGAAATCCTGAGAGTATCTGAGACAGTCTACAGCACTGGCTGACTTAGTTTTATACTAGGAAAACCTAAACAAAACAAACTGGAGGAGGGAATGGCAATCCATTTCAGTATTCTTGCCTGGAGAATCCCATGGACAGAGGAGCCTGGCAAGCTACGGTCCATGGGATCACAAGAGTCGGACACGACTTAGCAACTAACCAAACCAAACCAAACAAATACCTAAAGTCATTTGAAATCTCCATGGAATTTGGCACAGATAAAAAATATAGATAATTAAAAAATGCTAAAACATCCTGAACAATTAAACTCCCTTCTTCATACAAAAAAATAAATGGTCACCGCAAAGACTGTTTCCCTTAATTCTAAATATAGCTCACATTATGAATGACCACTCTTGAGGGATTTTGGGAGCTGTGAGAGAACAGACACAAATTGTAGCTTTTGCTTTAGATGTTTGTGGGCAAGGCAAAGAAGGGGTAAGAGTGAAAGTCAAACCTCACACATTCAATTTTTAGCCTGCCCACCACTATGCCAATCTCTTAGCAGTTATTTATTTCCATTCCTTTTCATTTGTCTTAAAAAAAAATACCCCACTTTTTTGAATGGAAAAAAGAAACAAAGCAATAGGGCTGGTTGAGCCATTTTAATTTTTCTTAACCCATAACCCCTCACCATAATGCTTACATAGACTAAAATATTTCTCAATGATTTCCATTCCCAATCAAGGGTGTCATTTCAGCTTAATGCTCTTATGGTTATCAAGAGAATTTTGTAGGGCATTCTGTTCATCCTCCCAGCTGAAAATCATGAAAAAATAAAAAGTTTGTTATGACTCTGAAATGCCATTTTTGTTGGCTGTTATTTTCAGAAACAGATGAGCATTATCAAGAATATAAATATTTTTACAGAAGATAAAAAACATACATCGGCATTATCTGGAAATAATGGCTTTTTGTTAATATCTATTTTACAAAGATCATTAGAATTATATAAGTATAATAGGCCCAATTTTCCACTGAGCTGAAATATTGGGATCAATAGCTAATACTTGAAACTTCCTATTGCTGCAAGCTAGTCTTGAGAATTCTAAGCTACAAAAGAACATTGTTATTTCTAAAATACAGTGTTTCTTCAAGTAAAGAAAAATGCCAACTTGTTAAATAACATAGTCTGAATTTAACTGCCTGATTGGTAAAACAATTTTACATTTTGTAAGGAAGACACGACAGCCTATGTTTTAGACTACCAAACTATTTAGAGCTTCTTGCCTAATTTAGTCACTGGGCATCTAGTTCTGAATGACTGACATTTAGATTTCATAAGAAGTTGACTTCCCACCCTCATAGTCCTGAGTCTGATCAAGGGAACTTTGCTTAAAAACATTTCCTTGCTCTCTGTTCTAGAAAGGATAAAATCTCAACTCCTCTTCTGGCTGTCAATCCTTCCATCCCCCGACTCACCTTTCCCACCAGAGCTCTCACTTTCCATTTGCTCACCCCATATCTTGAGCTGTTTGTATTGGGTTGGCCACAAAGGTCATCTGGATTTGGCCGTAAGATGGCACTGAAACACACAAACGTCTGACTAACCCAATATCTATCTTCAAACGCCTATCACGTCTCTATACAACTGCATTTGCATTTTCCTCGGCCTAAACCACTGTTTTTAAACTGGGGTGATTTTGCCCCCTACCCTCATCACCCCCAAGGACATCTGTCAATATCCTGAGACATTTCTGGTTGTAACAGCTGGGCAGTGCTACTGACATCTAATGTGTAGGGACCATAAATGCTACTAAACACCCTACAATGCATAGGACAGGCCCCCGCAACAGAGGCTTATCCTGTCCAAAATGTCAACAGCGCCAAAGTTGGGAAACCCTGGCCCTGAACAGCGCCAAGGTTGGGAAACCCTGGCCCTGAACACCCTTTCCCCTTTTCCTGAGTCTGGCAAGCACGAAGTTTAAAGTCACCCCAGAGATGATTTCTGAAAGTCCTTGAGGAAGATCTGTTTTCCAACTCAGGACACACCTCTATCACTGTTTCCTTTTTAAGAGGCTGTTATCAGTCTATCTGTCTGTCTTCCCCAGCTACATGCTGCTGCTGCTGCTGCTAAGTCACTTCAGTCGTGTCCGACTCTGTGTGACCCCATAGACGTCGGCCCACCAGGCTCCCCCGTCTCTGGGATTCTCCAGGCAAGAACACTGGAGTGGGTTGTCATTTCCTTCTCCAATGAGTGAAAGTGAAAAGTGAAAGTGAAGTCGCTTAGTCGTGTCCGACTCTTAGCGACCCCATGGACTGCAGCCCACCAGGCTCCTCCATCCATGGGATTTTCCAGGCAAGAGTACTGGAGTGGGGTGCCATTGCCTTCTCCGCCCCAGCTACATACATGTACACAAATCCCTCCTCAGGGTCACTGCTTTGCAGATGTTTGTGTCCCTGGTATATAACATAATGCTTGCCATAGTATAAGCAAGAAACAAATGCTTTTGAATTTGTGGCTGGCTGGATGAATGTATGAGAAACCTTGGACCTTGTGTGATACTATAAAAATAATTTCAGGTTTGGGAAAAACCATCTTATTTACATGGTTAGCTATCATTTACTCATTAAAATATATAGTGGGAACATAAGCTAGCTCACTGTTTCCCAAACTACGAAACCGATTCATATGCCATCTTCTCAATTCTGCTATACCCTCATCTTTCTACAGCGTAAGTCACTTACTATTTATCTTGACAGGAACTCTCTTTTAAGAAACAATTTATTATAAAAGTACTGTAAATAGAAAACTAGCACCACTTACCATAAGTATAACTAAAAATAAAGCCAATACAATGCTTGTGCTCTGGCAGTCTCTACTTGATGGAGTAAGCATTTAAAAGACTTGGGGTTCTCTGGTTTTCTCTAGATGTATCAATTAAAGTCACTATACTTGTGTGACATACTTTTGAAACTACAGCACTGAACTAGAGTGCTCTAAGTGAATGAAGAGGTTGAGAACATTCCATCATCCACTCGGCACACATTTAATGAATGAATACTGGATGCCAGGCAATGTAGTATGTACCTGAATAAAATAATGAACAAAACCAGAGATAGCCTTGCTGCCATTAAGAGCAAGAGACAAATGAAAGAGACAAATAAGAATGGATCATGTGGCTAAATGTGCAATTCAACCATAGTAAGAGCAGGAAGAAGTGATGGGAGCGGTCTTTAAGAGGTGCATCTCAATCAGTCCTCCAAGCCTAGAGGGAAAAATAAATGCAAGATGAACTTGGTGGGTAAATTGAGAATCAATCAGTGGATGGATGGCAGGGCACAATGAAGTTGACCGTGACCTTGGGGAACTGGGGAGGGGGCGCTGGTCACGTTGGAAACTCCTCAGGAAGCACAGGTTTAGGGAGATGACAGGTTTGCTTTTGGATGCACTGGGTTAGGGGATGGACAAGTAAGTAATAATATCATGAGATCCTAGGAGGGAAGTGCAGGTTTGTGACCCTGTTCAAATTCTTAAATGTAAAGCCCCCAGTTTCCTCATCTGTGAGGTAGAGCTGACAGTACTATCTACCTTATAAATTTGTAGGCTAAACATTTTTTGAATGCTTACTGTATGCTGGCATTGTTCTATGGGCCTTGATAATAAAAAATGACATCTATCGAGAATGAGCACTAAGTATGAGCCACACTTTATGTTGTGTCTCAAAATAAACTGATAAGGCAGGTGGACTATTTTTATCCTCATTTTACAGAGGAAGAAACCAAGGCTTAGCGGAGCTGAGAAGCACCCACCCACATGAGCTGTAAGTAGCAGAAAAAAGACTTGAATCCTGCTCTCTCTGAATCCAGAGTCTGTACCACTAATTGCTGCGCTATGTGAGGGCTCTCCAATAAATGCATGGCGTGAGTGTGTCCTGAGACGGGGGAGCAGGTGGAAAAGCCAGATTCCAAGGAGACCAAGAATGGGTGGGAGTGAAGGGCAAGTATGGCTGCCTCAGGAGTCTGGTGTTGACATGAAGAAGAAAATCTAATAACCTGAACTTTTCTTCCAGGTTCCTGTTCAGGGTGAAAAGAAGAGGAACACAGGGGCCTCACTGAATATCGGGAGCTGGAAGGCAGATAAGATGTCCATGGAACACAGTCTGTATATCTGGAGGAACACAGGCCATTATGGGTAGGTACTCCAGGGAGGGGCTGAGGACTGGCTCTCAGAGAGCAAGTATTAGCCTGCTCTAGAGGAAGATGGCATAGGAATCTTCAGGCATAAGAAACAACAGATACAGAAGAATAGAGAAGCTCAGATTTGTACAAGGATGGACATGTGGTTGTATGGGCAGAGGCCATCACTGGCTTCCGAGCAGGAAGTAAAGAATTCTAGGAGCTCAGACTAAGGAAGGCTTTGGGACCAGCATCCTAGAGGGTCTGGGGCACCACGTTAAGGAGCTCTGACTTCAGGCTTTGGGTCTTGGAGAGCCCTTCAACCAGAGGGGAGACTCAGCTGGTCGAGGATTATGAAGGAACCAGTCGGGGTTTCTAGGAAAGACCCTTCAGAGAAGGGAAGACCAAGACCATGGAAGACAAGAGAACACTCCTTCATGAAAGAACTCAGTATTGAGAGCCCAAATGAATGTATTACTTAGCTTGGAAAACAGGAAATCAAAGTGATGGTGATCACCCACTGGAGGTTGAGGCTAGGTCTATGATGGCCGTGGGAAACTGAGAGCTAATATGTGTTGGACACTGTGCTGAATGCTATACGCTTTGTGTTATGTAATCCTTCCAATCGTCCCATGAAGTATTATTACCTCCATTTACGGATGGGGGAGCTGAGGTTTCAGGTTAAGACACTAAAGGTCAAATAGCCCATAACAGGTAAAGCCAGAATTATTCAAACCTAATGAAGCAGAGGGTAACTCATCAGTAGTCCTGATCAAAAAGGGCAGGAAATGGACATGTAAAAGCTGGAGAAAAGAAGAAAATGCCAGGAGTGGTTACCACCAAGTCAGGTAACCAGAAGTCAGACTGATAAACAATAAGGCCCTACTGTAAAGCACAAGGTACTAGACTCAATATCCAGTAATAAACCATATACACGTCTGCCTGTGTGCTCAGCTGCTCAGCTGTGTCTCACTCTTTGCAACCCTATGAACTATAGCCCACCATGGGATTTTCCAGGCAAGAATACTGGAGTGGGTTGCCATTTCCTCCTCCAGGGCATCTTCCCCACCCAGGGAGAGAACCCGTGTCTCCAGCAGCTCCTGCAGTGGCAGGCATATTCTTTCCACTGAGTCACCTGAGAATCCCAAACTATATATATATATAATAGATAGATAGATATATACATATATGGGCTTCTCTGGTGGCTCAGTTGGTAAAGAATCCGCCTGCAGTGGGGGAGACCTGGGTATGATCCCTGGGTTGGGAAGATCCTCTGGAAAGGAAATGACAACCCACTCCAGTATTCTTCCCTAGAGAACTCCATGGACAGAGGAGCCTGGCAGGCTACAGTCCATGGGGTCGCAAAGAGTCAGACACGACTAAGCACAGCACAGCACATAATATATATATATATATATATATATATATATATATGTACACACACATATATACATATACACACACACACACGTATAACTGAATCACTTTGTTGTACAGCAGAAATTAACACATTGTAAAACAACTATACTTTAATAAAATAAAAAATATATTTAGAAAACTAAAAGATAAAAAGTAAAAGAAATCAGATGGAGGTTAAAAAACTGAAGACTGGCAAGTGTCGTGCATGAAGCTTTAGGTCTGTAGAACCCCAAGAATTGGAATTTTTTAAAACCTGGAGATGAAAGGAAAATAAAAAGCTAAATCTCAGTAAGCATTTCAATGATTAGGAGTTCAATCACTTAAAGGTGTCGTCCACCCTGGGAGGATGACAACGGAAATGACTTCGGACAGAAAGAAAACTGTGAAGTCTAATAGAAATAAAAGCATCTCCAGCTTACATGAGGCCTGGAGAAGTCAGCATAATTTATCCCTGGCCTCAGGCAGAATTACCATAAACCATCTGACATAGATAGATTTTGCCATGTTAAATGACTTTCAGAAAGGGAAGGTTTTCCATAATTTTCCCTAGTAACTCATTGTTGTGTTTAATAGCTTCACTGTCAAGAAGCAATTTCTCAGGCTGTATCTAACTTGTGATTCTGTAGCTTTGAATTCATGTCCACTTTCATTTCATTTGGTTGTGCATAGTTGCTTCCGGCCACTACAAGATATACTTAACCAAAGTATAGCCTGACTTCCAACTTTCACCCCCTAAACTAAATACAGTCTCTTTGATTTTTAAATACGGTTGGTTTGCTTTGGCAAAACTATCTTTCATTCTCTATGCCTCTTGCTTTTCATAAAACAGCCAGGCTAAATGTGATAGGAATATTACTATATGAAAACAAGATGAAGTCCCATTTCTGTATCTCACAATGAGAGTGTGAAATGAAAGAGAAATATTAGGTTTGGGAGATGAGCTATATACCTTAGGATGTGAGCAGCCTGGTACTCCAGAGAATATTAAAAAAAATATGCTATATTTTCCTATAAAATACAGTATTCATGCTGAATTTATTGACATTTACGAATAGTATTTTATACAGTAATGGAAGAGGTGAAAAGATATACATGTTCCAGATATCACTGAGCTAAAGGTACTACTGCAAAAGCTAAATTTATGCAATCTCTGGTGCAAAACATTCCTAGAGCAAGAACTGTTGGCACCTGGGAGTTAATAGGCATACCATACTAGCCATCCATCTAACTCCTAAGGAAGGCTCTGGGTTCAATTGTGAATTAAGTTATCTTGATTGGCTCATATTACTTTATTAAAGTGTTGCCACCTCTATCTTATGTACATAATGAATTGAAATAGTAATGTTTTCTTCGATCCAATTCAAGTGGCTGCTACTTACTAAGACAAATAAAACATCATAAAAACCAACCCCTAAAATCCTTGTCAATAATATTTATGATGGTAGGTCTAATGTTTCCTTTTGACACACATAATATGAGGTCTCATTACGATAGAAGCTGGCTCAGCCAGAAACCTACAAGCACAGATCTGAGTCGGCACTTTGATAATTCACTCACACAATGATCACTGATGGTCAATAATGACCTTGAGAATCGCTAAGAAAATGGTTAGAACAGAATGGAGAAAGGGTGTGGGAAAATTCAGGAGAGGGCTGGAGTTTTCAGGAAAGGATATAAGCAGGGCTTGAATGGCCACATGAAGAACTGGAGGATTCAAGATCAAGAAAAACGGGCAAGACGTTACTGGCAGAAGGAATCATGTGAATAGAACACAGCAGGCTGCCGCAGCATGGTGGGCTGAGCTCTGTCAGAGCGAGACAACCCATCTAGAAGGAATGAAACACCTATTCCTTCTCAGACTGTGATCCGACATAATATTTCAATACTGTCAACACTGTATGCCTTTACAACAAAACGTATGCCAGAAGTGTGTTTCTCTGTGTTTGTAACTTTAAAGCCCTGTCAGTGGAATGCCGGCAGTTCTTGGTGTTCAAACCTGTTAAGCTCATCTTAGAGTTAAAGAGAAGGTGATCATCTCTTCTGTACTAAATCAAGGATCACAAAAAAAACCCCTCATCACACGTGTCATTTGTAGCCTCTTCAAAATACAAATGTTATAAAATTATCCTGAATGTATGTACACTTTATTTGGGCATGATTTTTAATTTAATTCCTCATCAAATCCTTTTGAGTACAAGGGAAAACAGAAAATGCAAAGAAGTTTAAAAAGTAGATACCAGAAGGTTATTGGCTTAACTTAGTCAATGGCCACCCTAAATATTACATGGACCAGCAATGATTTATCCAGTTTACAGACATCATTTAACCAACTTGAAATTCTGTAAAAAAGAGTGTAGCTTTTTACGATTTCTTCATGACCACGAACACATGAATAATCTCGTGGAGATGTTACTGTGTGTGTGCTAAGTCACTCAGTTGTGTCCGACTCTTTGTGACCCCATAGATCGTAGCCCACCAGGCTCCTCTGTCCACCGGACTTCCCAGACAAGAATATTGGAGTCATTTCCTTCTCCAAGGAATCTTTTTGATCCAGGGATTGAACCTGCATCTCCTGCATTGGCAGGGGGACTATTTTTGTCTCCACTGAGCCTGGAGAAGATAGATGTGAGCCAGTGCACTTTTAAGATTACAAGCAAATTCAAATACAGATCTTGGTTGGCTTACTTCTCTGTCAAGTCCGGCTGCCACCGTGATAATGTCCCCAGTCTCATTGTTGATTGTAAACATGTTGGGCGAAGGGGTGCTTGGCGCCTGGGACAGGATTCTGTACCTCAACATCCCATTGAGGGCATTTGGATCGTCAGCATCAATCGCAGTGACTGTCATCACATATGTTCCTAGACAGTAGACATGGAAAATAAATAGCTGTCTTTCATGTCAGGGTCTCCCAAACAGAAGGGATATTTACCTTCTTCATCAATCTTCATTTCACTTTTTCATTTTTTCATTTTTTACAAAATAACTTCTATTTTTAAAAATGTGGACCATTTTAAAGTCTTTAGCAAATTTGTTACCGTATTGCTCTCATTTTATGTTTTGGTGTTTTGACCAAGAGGCACATGGGATCTTGGCTCCCTGACCAGGGACCAAACCTGCATTGGCATGCGGAATCTTAACCACTGGATCACCAAGGAAGTCCCTTTCCACTTTTTCAGACCAATATTTAATCATTTAGCCTTGATTAAAACACTATTGATAAGAACTGAACTCACTTCAAAAAATATAAAATATAGTTGAGTTGCTTGAAAGGAAAATTGTTAAAAAAATTTTTTTTACAGATGTATAAAGACTAAATGTTTCCATATACTTAAAAGACAAATTCACTATATGATTCAAAGAAAGGATCCCTTCAGATATATATCTTATATATCCCTTTGTTTATATAAAATGCAAATAATAAGTAACATAGATGTCATTTGAAACATCTTTTATGGCCACTGATCCCTTCCCTCTGCCGTTTTTTTTCCCACTGTGAAGTAGCATCTAAGACGACATGCGGGGTATGATTCTCCACAAAGCCTAAGTCACTTTCTGAAAGTAAGCCAAGTGCATAACAACACATACTCCATTTACTGAGGTCATAAGGAATCATTCCATGCATGACTGTTCTGGTACATTGAATAGGGGGTTTTGCGCTGGGGTTCATTATTTCCGAGGAGATTAAAAGAACATTGTAACAAACTCAGGGACTCCAGTTTATTAGATATTGTGGAAAGTCTACAAAGCATTACGAATAAATGCACTCAAACTAGTTAGACAAACTGCAATTGAGAAGTAGAGAGAAAATGTTACTATTTAAGATGGTTTACTCCATGAAATTTTTGTAAGACTTGGATTATAAAATGTTCCATCTCCAGGCTACCTTCTTCTTTAGTACTCTTAAGATCGGTTTTATTTAGTGCCTTTACAGCCAGTGTTCCCTCTACAGGGTACTTTTTTTTTTTTTGCCCCAGAATTAACTAAATCTTGTTCACATAATTCAAATCTCTTTTCAGAGCTTGTCGAACAAGACATCCTATTTGACTATGCGCCAAGTTTATTTTTTTTTCCAAAACTTTTATTTTTTCCCCCCAAACATTTGCTTGCTTATTTGCCTTTTACTGTTCTCCACTAGATTTTAAGCTCCAACAGGGCACAACTAACTTGTCATGGCTGTATCTACAGTGCTGGAGCAGTGTCTGGCATACAGTATGTGTATGTGCTCTATAAACATTTGTTGAATGAATTGTTACAACAAAACAAAACAAAAAATGTGTTTTGGAATCTTGAACCAAAATATTGCTTACAACATTGCATTTTAGTTTAAGATTCATGACTCTATCAAATCTTGCCTAGAAGGATGTTTTCAAACTTACAGAACAAATGCAGGAAATCGACTCATGAAATGTCCTTACATTTCCTGATCATTCGGAGTCATTTATTTACGGGAAGGCTTTATGGAAATTCACGGGCATATGCATTGTAAATATACCTGTAATGATTTACTTTTGGTAATTTTTATGAAATGATAATTCTGATAAAATTGGAAATAATAGAGGAAAAAGGACCAATGAATGATTTTAAAAAACCAAAAGCCTTCCCTAGGCAAAAAAGCACAACGTTTATTTATCCTTAGAATATATGTATAAGCCTTGTGTTTTAGTAAAGATATGTTTAACATGCTTTTTTTTTTCCTGTATTTTAAAATACCGACGAACTCGACTCTAAAATGTGACTCAGACAGAGCCACAGATGGTTGAACTTCCTGCACAGCCCTTCTTCCCACCCCAGCTGCCCCCACCCCCCTGCTCTTCTGAGATACAGACAAATGTATCTGAACCAGGAAAAATGCCAGTTTAAGACATAGTTATATCTATAAATTGGCTTATCTACAAACCAGTATAGATGGTGAAGGAAATATAGAGCGTTAAGTTTAAATGTCGAGGCTTTCTTAAATTTAAAATTAAATTTAAAAAATTAAATATAATGAATTAAGTCTTGCTTAAAAGCAGCATGAATGAGAGAAAATGACATTAAAGGCTCACGTGATTTCTCATTTAGCTTATACGCGAGGTATGGATAATATTGCATTTCCTCAAGGAACCTCCAAATTATGATCTTCCAACTTACCTGGCTTCGATCCCTCAGGAACTGTCCCATTCCAAACCTGATGTAAGAACTCGGGTCTGTTATCATTCATGTCAATAACATTGATGACAATGTCGATGGGATTTTCCACTTGGTTTCCGTTAATATCCACTGCATGTGCCCTCAACTGCAAGAGTAATTAGAAAAACGAAACAATTTAATGGATTTAGGTCTCGCGTGAGAAGATAAAAGATACCATAACCATAACCATAAACAGCACAGATGGATGAAAACCAAAAGCTATTCTTCCCATCAAGATTCAAGGTAGCCAAACTATATCATTAAGGGAGACATAGCTGATAGGCATCTAGCTCAGAGTTCTATGACTAATCTGTATACAAAAGAGTGAAGCAGAAACGATCCACCTTTGACGGCAAAGAAATCGAGCTTCAGAGAAGCTAAGTATTTTAACTCAGTTTACTGACAGAGCTCCTGACCTAAGCCAGTTCTGTCCAGCTTCCAAATCCTTTCACTAAATCCATACAAAAGAGTCAGGGTAACAAAAAATGTGGAACTGGCCTAAAGGAGTCATAGAGAACAAGAGAAAAGATGAGAATCTGGAAAGAATGAAGTGTGCACACGGAATTTTGACTCTTTTTATTGTAAAAGTCATTCACCCATAAACAGTAAGAGTACATAAGACAGTTTGTTCCTCTCCCAAGGTTGAGTTCTCAGTATTACAAGTATTCTAGAAATTTTGTCTTTTTTCTTCCTTTGTAAACAAATATAATCACTCAGCTATTCTTGGCAAAATATCTTCAAAATCTTTTCATCCAGCTCATAGAAAACCATTTCAATCTTTTCAAAGGCTGCGTAGTGTTCCATTGAATTCTTTCTTTTTAAAGGCAGTGCTTCTATGATTTTCCTGTTAAGTATGATGCTGGCTACTGGTTTCTGCTGGATATGTTTTATCAACTTAAAGAAGCATTAATATATCTTTTTTTTTTCAATTTTGAGGTTATTTAGCACATGAAACTGTAAATTTTATTAGACAGGCCTTTTCAACACATACAGAGCCTCTTTTTCCCTTGACTTATTTAATACATTACATTAAGAGATTTTAATACTGAACTGCCCCAGCCATTCTATAATTAATTCTATTTTGTTATCAATATTGCTCATTTACGTGCAAGTAGTGAGAATCTGGAGAGCAAGAATTTACCCCAATACCTACCTGAAAATATTTATTTTTCTCAGATTTAACCACATGACTTCAGCCAGTAAGAATTCACACAGAAGAGAGAGTTAGAATTTTTGGATTGGTATTTTTTGTGCTCATAAATTAGAGACTAGTCTAGTTAGAGTCCGGTCTACTATGTGCTGCTTTATTCCACCCATGCTCGGTCATGTCCGACTCTATGCAACCCCATGGAGTGTAGCACTCCAGTCTCCTCTGTCCATGGAATTTGCCAGCCAAAAATACTGGAGTGGGTAGCTATTTCCTATGCCAGGGGATCTTCCTAACTCAGGGATCAAATTTGTGTCTTTTGAATCTCCCGCATTGGCAGGTGGATTCTTTACCACTGTGTCACCTGGGAAGCCCCACCACCTTTACTAAGCTTCCCTGTTAAGGTGATGCTCTTTTGTAAAAGGCTTGAAAACCTCTTTATATTTTAGAACAATGTATTAATAAAAAGCATTAGAATTATGTGTTCATTAAGGCTTTTATGAGAATTGGCTGGGAAAACAATCAAGGCCCTTGGGAGGAGAGAATTGGGTGATATTTAGGATTTAAAATGCATTTTTAGTTTTTCATATGCTTATTTGCCAGTTTATATGTAGGGTGTCTTGCTCTACCATATGTCTATATCTATCTATGTAGTAATTTTCACAAGTTAAATAATTTTAAAAGTTTGTACAAGTGCAAAAATTCAAAAACTACATTAATGAGAAAAATAGTCTAACAATACATTAGCATAAGTGGCATAAAAATTATGGGACAGCTAAGTATGATCATGACATTGATGCTAAATCAACTGAAATACTAAATCAATCCATAGTGCTGGGACAACTGGGCTGGCCATAAAGGCAAAGCCAAGTGGATCTATATATCCTTCTTTTACTAAAATAAGCGCCACAGAGGTTATACATTTAGACGCAAAGATAAATAAATAAATAAAACAGATAAAATGCAGGAGATCAGTATCTTGGAGTAGGAAAGATCTTTTTAAACATCTCCAGAAAGCCAGAATGAGGGGCTTTCCTGGTGACTCAATGGTAAAGAATTCACCTACCAATTCACTAGATACTGGTTTGATCTCTGGTCTGCGAACTAAGACCCCACATGCCGCAGAGCAGCTAAGCACATGTGCCACAACTACTGAGCTTGTGCTCGGCAGCCTGGGAGCCACAACTCCTGAAGCCCTTGTGCCCTAGAGACCATGCTCTGCAAGAAGAGATGCTACTGCAAGAAAAGCCCAGGCAGCAACAAAGACCCAGCACAGCCACAAATTAATAAATAAAAAAGAAAGCCAGAATGCACGATAAAATCAAAACAATGACAAATACCATAATGCAAAAACTGTAAGTTATAGTAAGGGAAAAATTATAAACAAAGTTTGAAAACAAATAACAGTAAAGGAAATATATGAAAATCACGTATCAACATCTCTAGCAGATAAAAGGTTATTGTAAGTGGATAGAGGAAAAGGTAACAATTTTCTCAGCCCAGATTCAACATAAGATAGGAACAGGGGATTCACTTTAATTGGATATTCAACACAGGCAACTTAAAGCATCAAGATAAATTTTTTAGAAATAGCACTGGCAATAAATAAATAATGCCTGGAATTGATAATGGAATGGAAAGTATCTATTTTATAGTGGGGAGGTACTGCAACACAACACAACTCTAAGAGAACAATTTTACTATATTTATCAAATCATTCCAATTTTAGAAATTTTTTCTGAGGACATAATGGGACAGTGTACAGAAAGCTGGTCATTGCTGCATGATTTATAGTTGTAAAATAAAGTAGAAAGAACTAAATCATCCAAGTATCTGCCAGTAGGTAATGAGTTACAATTATGTTAGAGCAAGCAATCAAAAATAATAATAGAAAAAAATAATGATTCCTGATGTGGAAAGATGCTAAATCTTATGATTGCTAAGTGACAAAAGTTGGTTTCAGAGAATAATCCCAATTTTGAAAAAATATATTTATGAATCTATACACAAAGACACATCTTACAGAATATTACCAAAGTTAAAGAAAAGTGACTAGTTTATGTATTGGGATTGCAAATTCTTCTTACTTTATTACTAATACTATATTATTTGAAAAGTTTTTACATTGTACCTATATTCTTTTCTAAGAGAAAATGATACTTTAATTAAAAGTTTTAGCTATTCATATAGAAACTGGAATAGGAATAAAGATCACTTTAGGTTTCTCTATTAAACACTGAAAAAAATTGTTGAAATCCTGTTCCAGAAAAATGTGCAAGCGTGGCTAGAAAAAAAGGAAAGAAAAATGCTTTCTGGAATTTATACTTTAGTATTAAGTAATTATTGATTTTTTAAATACTCAATACAATTTTTAATTGGGAAAATCAGTTTTAAATACATACATATATTTAAAAATAGGAACATATAACTATATATAAGGGTTTCCCTGGTGGCTCAGATGATAAAGAATTGCAGGAGGCTGTAATGTGGGAGACCTGGATTTGATCCCTAGGTTGGGAAGATCCCCTGGAGGAGGGCATGGCAACCCACTCCAGTATTCTTGCCTGGAGAATCCCCCATGGACAGAGGAGCCTGGCGGGTTACAGTCCATGGTGTTGCAAAGAGTCAGACACAACTGAGTGACTAAGCATGCACAGCATAACTATATATAAAAGCTGTGATAACTCAATCAAGAAATGAATAACATAGAAAAATAACATAAAATTAGCATAAGAAATATAACTGGATATTATATCTAAGAAAAGATTGCTCAGATGGGCAGGTTAATGAAACCAAGTATTGGCAGGGTTATGCAGAAAAGGGAAATCTTAATTCTCAGTAGGCAGATAAAAATGGCACATATTTCTGGAGATAATATGATCAACAAATAACAAAATGAAAATGTGCTATCCATTTTGTATGATGCTAATTAATGGTACTCATAATATCAGTATATAAACAGACAAACATAAATGTACTTGGTTGGCCAAATGTTCATTAGGGTTTTGCTATGAATTCTTACAATAAACCCAAATGAATTTTTGGGCCAAACCAATATATTTATAAGAAACTGCTGTTAAAATTATAGTTTATATACATTCTGTGGAATACTATACAGCTATTAAAAATGTAATGATCTGTATGTAATTTACATGAAATAGCTTTGACCCCTTTCATGGAAATTTGTTCTTATAAGTTCTTAACCACATATCTGAAGGCAAGTATCAGCATGAAAACAGTAATATGACTTAGGGCAATTTTTAGTTTTTCCTTAGCATTGTTTGTTTACCATGAGCATTCATCAATTTTATAAAAACAATTGTTTTATAAAAATACAAAACAATTAAATTGAAAAGGCTACAAATACATTTCTGGCATTAAAACACTCAGGATCAAAGCTTTAAGACTAATATGAGAGGCAAATGTTAAACCTTGCACATATTTGGAAGAGTGTTAATACAAAGAATTAACAGATGGTTGAAATCTTACATGAAACCGGGCTATCAGCTCGCGATCCAGAGGCTTGGTTACTGACAGCTGACCTGAGATGGGGTTGATAATGAAGATACCAGTTGGAGGCTGGTCAGCTCCTGGCCCAGTTACGCTGTACCGCAGAGAAAGGTTTTTATCTCTATCGGATCTGATCTGAGGGTCAAGAAGATAGTCACATTAAACAAGGGACTAAACGAGCTCATTATCAGAGACAGAGCATGCTACACCTCATGGCCTCTTCCAAACATACACCATTTCTTCCCAGAAAATTCCTGAAGCTCTCCCAGTCCTATTCCTTGTTCTTGCTTCCTGGTGATGGGCTGCAAAAAGAGATGTCACCTGTCACTAGAAGGACGGGGCAATATTAACATCTAAAAGAACACTCACTAGGAGCAGTGCAAAAGTCAAAATTAAGGAGCGTCCATTTTTAAACAAAATCAAAGTCTCTTGGAAATTTGGAGGTTAGAATATTTAATCCAGTAACAGGTGTTCAATTTAATGAAGAAAAAACTATTTACTTTTTTGCATCAGTTAGGACAAGAAATAACTGTCTATTCATAGTGGGAAAGAGCCTCAGGTGGGAACTCTAAGATTATGGTTGAGCCTGGGAATCAGATTTCTGTACTTGCATTGTGCTGATGTTTCTCATTGCAACCAAAGTTTTCCTTATTATTTTAAGTTGGCACCCAATACCCCAAATTCTTTATTAATAACAAAACATGCAAGAAATGATTTTATAATAGATTTCTCTTAGGCATAAAAATTTTATCTGTTACAGGCTCACTGATTTCTCCTCCAAATACAACATTTCCTGGAAAAATAAGCTTACAGGTGAGTGGAACATATGTATCCTATGATGTTTCTAACATCATAGGAACAGGCTGCAGAAAGGGAGGAAGAATAGGGCAGAAAGAAGGGCATTTGAGTAATACTGTTTGGAGGTGATAATAAGAAATATCTGTATATTAGACAAATACTTTTAATCCAGTAATAGAATCCAGTTTTTGTTTTGTTGTCTTAGTTAAGGCAAAATTCTTTAATTTTCTCATTCTCCATTAAAGTAGAAACATAGAAAACACCTTGATTTGGAGGTTACATATTTCATTTTTAAACTTAATTATAATGCATATTACCATAGACTAGACAACACAAATAAATGACATTAAAAAATACAGTTTTCAGTAGGTATGTATTGGGATGCTAAATTAATCATATACAGAAACATTACTCGCTACTAAATTTGAGAATACAACTAGTTGTCTCATTTTCTTTTTGTAATAAATAACAAGTCACTAATTTTACTAAGCATATAGAAATGTCTGTCATTTTTTTTTCCCCGTGGGTCTGATAGCATGCATTTAGAGTAACTGGGAAAAAAAAAATCTTGCTCTTCAAATCTGAAAGCCTATGTTTTTTGTGTAGCCCCAGGGAGTCCGTTAATGGTATCAGAGGTCATTTTTTATTTCTTTAAAAAACTCTCAAATGCACTCAGTACCGGCATTTTTAGCAATGATTGCCCCTTTATTTTTTCTTTGGCCTAGAAGCTATCTGTAGAGGGCAAAGATCATCACGGGGAATGCAGCTCTCAGACAGGGAAGATAAGGTGGAAGGGGAAGGGTACGGTGTGGCTGTGAATGCATGAGGAAGCTAGGGTTGTATATTCAGACACTGAACAAACTTCAGCATCCATGGCCCACTGGACGGACCCACAGAAAGCTCTGCCTGTAAATAACCCAAGGTAATGAATAAGAGACTCTTTACCACCCTAGAGACATTTCATCAATACAAAATAGTGCATTCATGTCTTAAACTCTACTTTGTGGAAAAAAGAGACAAAAGCACTTCTAACAGAGACCGAACACATGCCACAGAGATCAGTGAAATTGCGTCACCCTACCCTGACGAGCTCTTGGGGAAAAGGCCCTCTGGAGTTTTCTGGCAAGTTGATGGGAGGGATAACCCAGTCTCTCTTCTGCCTCTGCAGGTAGCCACTGTGCTTAGTCAATTGTCTTGGGAATACGATTTCTTCTATTTCTCGTGATTCCTTCGCATGAAAATACAAGAAGACATTCCTGAGTACCAGAATAGCACTTTCTGAAAGTACATCAATATCAATGGACACCCGAAAGTGCAGAATCACACTTTATTATGGGCAAGAAAATAAGTCTGGAGGCCCTGTCCTCATCCCCCTATGAAAATAATAGAAAATACCATAAAATTGCGGGCTTCCCTGGTAGCTCAGCTGGTAAAGAATCCACCTGCAATGTGGGAGACCTGGGTTTGAGCCCTGGGTTGGGAAGATCCCCTGGTGAAGGGAACAGCTACCCACTCCAGTATTCTGGCCTGGAGAATTCCATGGACTGTATAGTCCATGGGGTTGCAGAGAGCTGGACACAACTGAGCGATTTTTTCCATGTTCACCGTAAAATTGTGGGTGCCACTGTTTATTGAAAAATGAAATACCAAACAATGTTTTAAGCGGCTCAGCTGTGTAAACTATTTGCAGTTTCTATAAACCATCTTAGATAGTAGTTAACATTGAGCAAAATTTAATAGTACCCTTTTATACATTTCTCATTAGTTTAAACCACAGTTCAGGTAATGTGCTACTGTACATTAAATTTAGATCTTGATGTGCTAAAATATAATTTGAATTCCAAGAGAAGTTTAATACATACTGCTAAGGAACGTCTCAAATATTTATGACCCTATTAAATTCCACAGAATTAATGCTGTAATTATTCTAAACCTATGTCAGCCATGACGGATGCTATAGATGACCCACTTTGCACATGGGGTATTAATCTCTGCTGGATGTCAACAGTTTCTTCTGTTTTTCCCTGTATCTGTGGACACTTTAGCCATTAGCCCATGCTGCTTCAATGCAAACATCCAAGCTGGTTTGCTGTAACACAGTGAATCCTCAACAACAAAAGCAACTTTTCACTCAATTAGTTACCAGATCCTTATTTTATATTACCCAAATGACATGATTTCCCTTCACAGTTAATAGATTAACAAATTATATTTCACATAATGAAAATCCAACATTGGTATAAGAGAAAAATGATATCTTTTTCTCTAATATTTATTCATATTTGATTATTGCTATGGCTCTCACATTTACAATACCAGCAAAGAATATGTATATTATTCTGTTTTAATGTAACAGTTATAGTTCATAAAATCACAGACCAATTATATATATATATATATAGCATCACCCCATATTTATTTCCAATTAAGTCAAAGCACTATAATATTCAGAAACTAATATTGTTATCATAACTTTACTGAAGAAGTTAATATATCTTATTTAAAATTCTTAAAATAGTGGCTTACACAAAAGAAGGACTTAGAAAATGTTCAGTTGAATTTAATTTTACTCTGTTAAAAATGTATCTTATTTGTTTTATCTTGGCTTATAGCAATTTCCACCAGAGGGAGTGTACTATTCCTAAAAGTCATGTCCATAGTATAAATAATTCAAATCCCCCAATTTGATTACTGAGGGACAAGACAAAAACCCAATACTCCTTGGCAGAAATGTTTTCCTATTATTACTGTAAATCTCTACTTCCCCTGCCATAAGTTTGGCTGATGACATCTTATAAACAACTGTTTATCTTGTGGTTAAGTTTAACAGCTTGTAAAGCTTCTAAGTAATTTAAAACAAACAACTATTTCTAAGTAAATTTAAGTTATAAATCTCAAAGTATAAACAAATCTTTCAAATACAGTTTAGGATTGCTGATAATACATTTAATCTAAAGTAACCTGTAAGATTAAAAAAAAAACAAGCGGCAAAATAGTACTGCAGCAATGAAGTTGATAAAAGTTCCAATATTGGCCACTCATTAATGTGATGCCAAGTATGCACGTAGTTCAAACTGTACAATCCAAAGTCATCCTTAGATACTCTACCTTCACTGAATCCTCAGGTAAGGCTGGTTTGAGGCTCAGTTTTACTGCTACTTGCCACTTTTCCTGAGTCTCTTTGTCTTGAGCGTATATCAGGAACTTCGAGTGTTCAGAGGAGAGGGGGAAGCTTCTCACAGCATACACCATGCCATCTTCATCCACCTTAAAATCTGCTGGCTCACTGCTCTCATACTGTACTTTTCTTTTCCCATTGCAGTTGCTAAACTTCACTATAAAAGTAAATAAATAAATAAAACTAATTATATTACAAAGGCAAAAACAATTATTCATTTAACTCTATATCCAGCTTAGGGTAAAAGAAAACTTAGTAACATGAAATGTTACTCACTGGAAAAGACCTTGACGCTAGGAAAGAATGAAGGTAGGGGGAGAAGGGGGCAACAGAGGATGAGATGGTTGGATGGCCTCACCAACTCGACGGACATGAGTTTGAGCAAACTCCAGGAGATGGTGAAGGACAAGGAAGCCTGGCGTGCTACAGTCCATGGCGTCGCAAAGAGTCGGACACGACTGCGTGACTGAACTGAACATGAAATGCAAAAATTTTATTTTTACATTATTCAATGAATTTTCATCTTGAAATTTTAATACAACTTTTAAAGGTTACGCTCGATTTGCAGTTATTCCCCATGTTGCATGTGCCGTGCGTGCCAGATCTCTGCAGTCATGTCAGACTCTTTGCGACCCAGGGACTATAGCCCACGAGGCTCCTCTATCCATGGGATTCTCCAGGCAAGAATACTGAGTGGGGTGCCATGCCCTCCTCCAGGGGATCTTCCTGACACAGGGATTGAACCCGTGTCTCCTGTGTCTCTGGCCTTGCAGGAGGATTCTTTACTGGCTGAGCCACCTGGGAAGCCACCCGCATATAAGTGATATAATAAGTAGTTGTCTTTTTCTAACTTATTTCACTCAGTGTAATCCCCTCCAAGTCCATCCATTTTGGTACAAGGGGCAAAACTTCATTCTAGGTATGGCTGAGTAGTATTCCATTTTATACATATATGTCACATCACATCTTCTTTATCCATTCATCTGTTGATGGACACTTAGGCTGGGTCCATATCTTGGCAACTGTAAGTAATGCTGCAATGATCACTGGAGTGCATGTTTTCTTTTCAAGAATCTTTCTTTCTTCCTTTTTTTTTTTTTTTTTTTTAGATTTATACCCAGGAGTGGAATTGCTGGATCATATGGTAGTTCTATTTCAGGAATTTCGTTCTAGAGAATGTCAGATGTTCTGAGTTATTCCCCAGCATCTCCTTGTTCCAAAGTCTTCCTCTTCCTTCCACAAGCCCCTGGACCCTCAGGAATACCTGTTCCTTCCCAGGTCTCACCGATGCTGCCTTCCATTCCCTAACAAACTTCTACTAATCCTATACATCTCAGCTCCAGAGTCACTGAGGGCAGAACAAATTACTGCTGAACTCTTATCACCATAGTCCTAAAGCCATGCCTGACATTCACAGTGCAAGTACTTCAGAGTGAATTTTCTTAGCTATCTTGTATACCCTGCATCTTTCCTGGCAGGCAGCCTTAATATATAATTTTGGAATAAATTCTTAAAGGAATAAAGCAATGATATTCACCAATACTGAATGCCCACTATGCTCCAGAACAACAAAACCTTATGGTACTTAAAAGGTGAATAATTGGCCATTTCTAGTTCTTGTGGTGCTTATCATAGCTTTATGAAGTACTAACAGTTCTGTAGATTTTCAAACAAATGAAAATAAAGGTACATCTCAAAATAAACAACTGAAAATGTCTTAAGAAGAGAAAAAAATGAAAAAAATTTCAGTATCTTAATTAGCTCTATCTTACTTGTAATGACTTAAAACTTGAAAAAACTGAATGCTTTCTTAAAGGCAACATCAATTAGCTTATGTCTTATTGGAAACAAAACAAAGGTTAAACCACGTACTTATAAATGTAGAACTAGACCTATTCAAGCCAAAATAAAATTATAATAAAAATATTCTCCACAGAAGATGGTTTTCTCTGAAACTCTTAATCATTCTTTTTGAAGAAAAATTCTATGGTAAGAACATAAAAGGATCAAAGAAAAAAACATATTTTCACTTCTGTAAACATGTGAGGTTATGTTCTGACCACAATTACACTGGATACATTTTGGAGTTCAATTAATAGTCACACATTACAAACTAAAATCATATATATTTTTTTGTATTTTCCAAGGACCTAAGTTCATTTTTTGAACTCCCACCCACATGAGAATTAATTAAATTCTTTTGTTTTCATTAGCATAGATTCACTATGAATCTATGTGCACCAGACCACAAATAACACACAAGCTTATTACCCTAAGTAACCGTAAAACCTTGATAACAGTCATAAAATACTTCACTGAATATATTATTTTCCCACATAATTCACATATACCATCCTTCATCTTTCAAACATTGCAAAATGAAAAGTTGTATCTCACACTAAATGATAAGTCAAAATATTTGTCTTTGAAGTAGAAATATCCCAGTAGATAACTTAATTACCCCATCTTACATGCTATGTGATTTAAAAATGAAAAATGGGAATCTTTTCTATAGAACAATGCCATCTACTGCTTGTCTTTTATTAAGACAACAAAATGAAAAGTCAAATTGTTTGTAGGAGCCCTGCTGAGAAATCAAAATGCAAGACTTTCAGCATCTTCTTATATAAAAAGTCCCTTTTATATCACAAAAGGTATTCATGATACTTAAAAACAAACAATGTGGATGAGAAACATTAAACACTTTTCTGCAATTTCTTGTTGACTTATACACTCTGGTATTCCTCGCCCATTCACACCTGGACTGTTGCATCTGCCTGCTTGGGTGGTCTTTCTCCTGCTCCAGGTCACTGCGTGTCCATTTCTAGACTAAACATCTGCAGTGATTTCCTCCTCCCTGCCTGCAATATTACATGTCAACTCTTTGACCTAGTGTACAATGCTCTCTTAATTCTTAGTCACTTGGTCTTTTTGGTTTTATCTATTGGGTTGGTTGAAAAGTTGAATAGGTTTTTCCATAGCATCTTAAGGGAAAACCCAAAAGAACTTTTTCACTAATGCAATACATCATCTCCTACAATTTATTCTGCTCAGTCAGACAGATTTCTCAGTCAGTTTCCACATCGTTGTGGCCCACATTCTACACATGGGTGCTCAGTCACTTTAGCTGTGTCTGATCTTTGTGACCCATGGACCATAGCCCACCAGGCTCCTTCTGTCCATGGGATTCTCCAGGCAAGAATACTGGAGTGGGTTGTCACGTCCTCCTCCAGGGGATCATCCCAACCCAGGGACAGAAATGGCATCTCTTGCATTTCCTGCATTGCAGGCGGGTTCTTTACCCACTGAACCACCTGGGAAGCCCCTACACCTGTATGTATCACCTTTTCTGGGCCTGGACCACTCCCCTCCCTGTTCTCCTAGCCACAGCTTCAGAGTCAGGGGAAGAGTCCTCTTGGGTGTCCTTAGGAAAATGTCATCCTGTGCCCTCATTTGGGAAGGCTCTGAGTTTTTAAAAAAATTTTGTTCCTATGTTTCCTGTCCATAGCAATACATATTAGCACTTTATTTATTATAATAATAATAAGTAATTTCTACTTATTAATGGTTTCATGTGACTAGATCTTGTCTCTGTAAGTGGACCATAAACTCATTGTGGCTTCCTGACAGTGAGTCTTAGTTTTTTTATTTCTTTGACACTTAACAGTGATAGGACAGAATAAATATTCATTAAATATCTACAGACCAATTGTATAGATTAATATCTAAAATTTCTTTTAAAAACTAGAAAGCAGGAAACTTAGATGTATGCTCAGCCTACCATAGCAATAGTCAACAACAACAACAAAACCCAGGGACGTCCAATAATTTGACTTTGTTTAGATGGTTGGGTTATGAAAGAAAATGAATTGATACTGGTTGAATGCTAGGTACTGAACAAGATACTTAAGGTTAGGTTATTTACTTTAACCTTAAGAATAACTACCCAGAGTGAGAATTGTTTTCTCTGTTCTACAAATGGGGCAGAAAATTCAGAAATCCATCTACAATCCATGATGCTTGACTCCTTGTGTTTGCTTGCCCTAGAAAAACACAGAAGGATCTAACTCAACTCATACATCTTAAACTTTTAATAAACAACAAAAGTAAATAAATGACAAAGAGGCTTGATAGATGCTTGGGAAGAGAATAGTGCCACATTTAAATCTTTGAAAGTATCTAAGTAACTAGCATATTAAAAAGGAGTTCTTCAGTTGGAGTACAGCCTAAAGGTCCTACAGAGGGGAGGAACTGAGCCCCTCGGGGACTGGTGACTGTGTGTGACAGATGAAAAAAATTCACACTCACTGTTACTGTCACAGACTTTGGCTAATCTGGTAGTCAGCTACCTATTTGGATTCAGGTGTCAAAAAGATACAAGCAAGCAAAGATGGAGGCCTTTGAAAAAATGTGCCTTTTCCTACCAAGGGTCACTGCAGATCCTATGAATGAGAAGCGTGTGACCCCAGACTGTCTGGCTCTGAGAAAACACTTTGGAGGAAAGTGCATAAAGGTTGTCACTTAAAATCTTTTAGCTTTTCTAGCACCCTTGCCCCCATTGGTTTAATAGTTCTGTCATCAAACTGTTCTGAGATTTTTAAACAAATGATAATTTTCATTGCTCTGATATTAAAATAAGCAACATTTTGAGCACTGCTCAGGTTTAAAGGACTGTGATGTATTATGTGTTGTATTAACTGTGTTGTATTGATATTAATTCCTTTTGTACATTCAACGAGTGGAATCAATACCTTAACTGAAAATAAGTCCATTTCCAACTGAAAAAGTTTCCCTTAGTGAGATACTGGTCCTGACTTCATCCTGTGGTTGATTTAATGCACAACCAGCACCTCGTTCACATGCTTAATCAGTAACTACCAGGTTTTACTGCTTTCAAAGTCACGCAAAGTAAAAAGCTTGCTAATTTCAATGGTATTATGGACTACATTGTTTTCCCTTAAATTCACAGGCTGAAATTCTAAATCCGAAAACCCCAGAATATAAGTATTTGGGTGGCCAAATATTTGTTTGGGTTGTAACATCTTATAGAAAAACCCAAACAAAATTTTGGCCAACCCAGTGTATTTGGGGTCACAAAGAATTGGACACGACTGAGCGACTGAACTTAATGTATTTGGAGATAAGGTTTTTAAAGAG